TAATGTTAAATATGGCTGAAAATTTGAGTCGACCCAAGTGTTTTATTGTTCTACTAGGCTAACATATGGTGTGCTGGCTCAAAATAGATAGATATGTTCGCAAGATATACTCAGCAGACATGTTCTCTGGAGATAAATCATGTTATCATTCATTTTCTCCCCAAACCTGCTAACATTTTTTAGACGAGTGCACATTTTTGGCATTGTTAAAGATGTGACTTGGATAGTTAGAAATGTTTAGATTTGAAAAGCAGAGGGCACCTTATGTTCCATTTCTAAGACCCACTCCACCACCACAAACCACATTATAGTTTTCCTTTATTATACAAAAGAATGTGTGCTCTCCAGGATTCTGGTCATTTAGAATGGCCACAATTTGACCAATCTGTAGCTTGAATTTTTTCCCCTCTTAATTTGTGATCCTAACAGAATGGATTTTTCCCTACAGGATGAGATACTGCGCATGGCTGTTCAACGTTTCAAAGGAAAAAACTGGAAAAAGATCGGTAGGAAAAAGAATTGAAGCTTCTCTCCTTTACTACTTGGTTAACAATAAAAAGACATGTTTGATTAATCTCTGCTCTTCTTATTTTATCTATTATTTCTAACACCATGAATCTCCTCTTCCAACCCTCGTACGTTCAAGCATAATACTGCATAGAAAGGAAGACTGACTAAGTTTTGATCATCAGTTCATAAAAGACATTTGCAGCTTCTGTCAAAATATTATATGTTACTTACGGAATGTCTGGTACTACATGCATGATTTTTTGTTTATTGGTTTTGTAAATATCATTTGGTAATCATGTTGACGTAGCTAGATAGCAAAATTTGTTTAATTTTCAAAGCTTCTCATACAGTAACATTATGTAGTATATTCAGCCTTGGTTACAGGTGACTATAGGACAAGACATGGCATGAATAATGAAACTCCTTTTCAGTTAGAATGGACCTTAATGGTGACAGTTAGAGCAACTAAAATGAGGATGTTTTAGCTAGGGAAAATATTACTTTTGAACATTATTGGTTTAACACAACTCGTTAAAGATTATGTTCTGCTTAGGATTGCTCATGACTGTGGTATAAAAACATAGCATGGATTGTGAATTTTTTTGGTTAATGAGGACAGCTGGGACTGACACAGAGGCTATTTTATGCTCTGGATATTTACACATTATTTTATTTAATACAATTTTAGGGACAGTTTGCCTTGTATTATTACAATCAAGTTCACCGTTTGGAACTAGTATTTTACAATATAAACTTGCTAATTGTGCAATCAGTGTTAACCTCATTAATTGCATGGGGTGTGTCATTAATGAAATCAGAATCAGAATATTAAAAAAGAGTCTTCCCCATTTCCAAAATCCTTGAATTTCTTAAGTAATAAGAACTTCCAACTATGTCAGGGAAAGAATGCTTTCTTTCTATATATAAGAAAATAATTCAGTCAATCACTGTTTAATTTGGTCAATTAAGTGCAAGTGCCATGCATTTTTTTGTAAAATGTATTATTGCCTTTTTAAGTAGGAATATTTGCATTCCTTACAGTTACAGAGTAACTGGTATTAAACAGAAATGATCCATCATGGCTTGACAACAATATGGAGATAAAATTGAATCTTAGTTGAGTTTGTCAAAACTCTTCCTTGCACAAAACTATAATAACGTTTGATATAAGAGAAGAATTATGAGATTCCTTTTTGATGCATTGAGAATTAGATTTTCTAAATGATCCCAGTCGGAATTAACACCATGCCAAATACATGTATAGATCATGCAAATGGCATATTATGCTGAGGATTAGCTGTGGCCTTTTGCTTTTACCATGAGTACTTTGATAATTCTTTTTGGTGTGACTTAGATTGTCAAGTAGGTTTCTTAGCCAAAATGACAATCAATTTCTCAAATTATAATTTTTTTATTGGTATAATTCTTACCTTCAATTCCTATCGCCTACATTTTTTTGCATAGACAATATGTTATGTTTAAGATTATGCTATATGTAGCGGAGTGTTTCAAGGACCGAACAGATGTACAATGCTTACACAGGTGGCAGAAGGTTCTTAATCCCGAACTTGTCAAAGGTCCTTGGTCAAAAGAGGTTAGGAAACTCTTAATTTATTTATTCCGACAAGATTTTCTCTCCATTAAATTTAATTTTACCTCATCCTGGCATCAACAATTTAATGTTCTTTTTTATGGCTTATGAGTACCCATCTGATATATCTTTAATATGTGATCAGGAGGATGAAATGATAATCCATTGTGTGAACAAATATGGGCCAAAAAAGTGGTCCACCATTTCGAAGCATGTTCCTGGACGTATTGGAAAGCAATGTCGTGAAAGGTAAGCTTGAAGGAGCTTCTCTTGGTATTTCTAGCTCTT